AAAATTTCCCAGGCTTCTATATATAAAATACACTTTCTCTTTCTTCCTTTTCTATTTATTTTTGCATTGTCCTATAGACAAGAACGACTGTTACTTGATAGTAGTAAGAGGATTTCAAGGTTCACATTCTAAAGTAAGAGCTTAGTATTTGAGATCTGGAATAAACTGTAGCTTCCATGAGAAATCTTAGTTTCCCAATGAGAAACTTTAGTTCCTCAATGAGGAAATAAAAATGGCTCAGAGTTCTCGATGAATTGGGCTTTCTGCTCTGTAACACTTCCACCATACAGGCTGGGCGCGGTGGCTCACACCTGTAATCCTAGCACTCTGGGAGGCCGAGGCAGGTGGATCATTTGAGCTCAGGAGTTCGAGACCAGCCTGAGCAAGAACAAGACCTCATCTCTACTAAAAATAGAAAGAAATTGGCCAAACAACTAAAAATAGAAAAAATTAGCCAGGCATGGTGGCACGTGCCTGTAGTCCCAGCTACCTAGGACCCTGAGGCAGGAGGATTCCTTGAGCCCAGGAGTTTGAGGTTGCTGTGAGCTAGGCTGACGCCACAGCACTCTAGCCTGGGCAAGAGAGTGAGACTCTGTCTCAGAAAAAAAAAAGAAAAAAAAACACTTCCACCATACAAACAACTCAACCAGAAACTAGAATCAAGAAAGCTTTCTGAAATCCATAGTTCTAGGTTTGCACTTTGGAGATGGGTAAATTTTCTATGGTGTGTATGGAAACAGCACATTTCTATCAGACATTAAGCCAACTTACTACTCTATTGCTCCCACTTCTGATACATCTTCATCTCAGTTACTTTTTCTTGATTGATTGCATTAATAAAATGTGCATGTCTGCTACGTGTCAGGCACTATCATCAACAGGTAGAACTAAAATTTTTGAGCAATTAAAAGGGATTAAGGGACTAAATGATATTGACCCAAAGAGGTAAAAGGGATTGAAATGTTTAACCACACAGTTGAGTGAATTTTGCAGGGCCTAGTTTATTTTACTTTGATTTAGAATTATTTTGAGATCAGGGTTTAATCCTAAATTGTTTTAATCTAAAAATTACTTTAATGTATAGACAAACCTGCTCTAAAATTTTGAAGCTCAGTCTTCCTCTTTCTCTAGTCACTGTGAGAAAAAGTGTTACGAACAAAGTAGGGATTGTGGAAAGAGATGTATGTGGTGCCTAATCCAAAATGCCAGAGTTTAGCAAGTTGTGGGACCGTCTGAGATAGAAAAGCTAATGCTACTGTCAACTGAGCTAAAGTGTGATCCACTACAACTGAAGTTAATTGTCCTTCTTCAGGTTGACAATGTTATAATTAGATTCCACTTCTGTAGAGATTTGAAGTCATTGCTTAATATGCCTATTTAGGACTCATATTCTTACTGGAAGATAAACTCTTATCTTGTATTATCTAGTCTTTCAGCCTGCAATCTCTTTGTTGTCTTCCTGCCATTACTAGCAACTCATTAGGTAAGCCTCCCTGTTGCTAACCATCTCTGCTGGAATGTATCTTCATTTTTCCATTATTTTTAGAGTCAAATTACAAGCCCAGCAGGGTACTAACTGCATCTAATTGATTTTCTCTATTATCTAACATTTCTGTTGTGCTTAATGTATTTTTTACTATCCTTTAGTATTCTATTTTTTTTTTGCAATACAATTGAGAATTGATATTACCACGAATATTAAAAAAACGGCAATCTCTAAGGCCTCCTTAGCAGATGTGATCTCTTCTTCGGTGGGCTGTACACCAAGCAAGGATCAGAGAATACTGGGAAAGTAAACTCAACTCAGAAGGGACAGAAAAGCAGCGTGAGGTGATGGAAAGAACAGATCCCTGGAAATCTGACTTTGAGCTTTGAATTCACTGTGTAACCTTGGATGAGTCCCTTGAGCTTTCTAGGACCCTGTAAAAGTGAGTGAGTTATATAATTCCAAATATTCCAGTATTCTGATATTTGATTTTACAAAAAGCAAAGAGAGATTTACACCAAGAACAATTTTGTGTGAGGTCACCTAAAAAATTAAAGACCCTTTTTTTTAACCCAAACTGAACATTTAGCTTATCCCATTCTCATTGTATTTCCCAGACAGCATGGCTGTTTATAATTCTTTTCTTACTTTTTATTCTAGCATATATTAATACTTTTAATAAATATATTTCTCCAGTAATCCTCAATCTACCTTAATAATTTTACTATATATATTTTTGGGGCTTTTTGTTTTGTTTTTTTTTTAATATGTAATTTACTTCTCCATGAATAGACTCCTGACTTCTTCCCCGATAGATTATTCTTCCCACCACCTTCTTTTGTGATGGAATCTCTTAAAAAAAATTGGGGGAAGTTGTTATGGTGGTGATGCTGGCATTTTTCTGTAACATTCAGTTAGTATCATACATTTCCAGTGTCCCACAACCTGATTTTCTGTTTTCCTGGGAATAAAAGTATATTTTTTAAGTACCATTTTTAGAGTCATTATGTAGGGATGGAAATGCTTGCATCGTAAATGATCACTTGATTAAATGTTTGCTTACCAAGTCCAGTTCCTACACAAAGTCTATGTCCTTTCCTCAAAGTCACATGACCTTCTTTTCACAGTCCTTGTCTTCTAATTTGTCTATATTTTATCTTTACACTTTTTTTCATTTTATTGCCCTTAGATCTTTAATTCCAGCATCTCAATCTCTTTATATTCTCACTCTTCCCTCCCAAAAATAATGCTAGCACATGCACATCCTTTCCACCAGTGTCCTCAAGACTTCTTCCTGATACCAAGAGCTAAAACTCGACTCAGGCAAAACTGTGAAGAAAGAAATGTGTCTTCGTTAGCCCCTTCGGCCTCCACTTAAAACTGTCCTTCCTTCTCCTTTTGCCACCACCATCTTCTACATGTCTCTCTTGCCCCTCTGGTTGGTCATAATGGATTCAGGTTGGCCTCTGTATTGCCCCAAATTCTGGACTTCCTCTGACCTCACTTCCTGAAACCAAGACTTATCTGTCCTGTGTCCCACTCTCTCAAGGTGCACTTAAGATTGATCGAAATCATTCCATGTCCCAAAATGAACAAATAGCTCATGTAGTCTCTTCCCCTAGGAAAAGTGTAATTACCAGGGGCTTTTTAGAGATTTTGGCTAGATGAGAACAATACAATTATCATGGCGAAAACACTTTTCGCATATCTGATTTCAATCATCTCTAAATATTTCACCATATCCAGCAGAAACTGACTAAAATGAAGAAAAAGTCTGAAGTTAAAACTTGATATACCCACTACTTTACAGATAAGGAAGGGATTTGTCATTAAAATTTCTAAAGATAAAATTTCTCAGTGAAAAACATTTATTCACCTGAGGTTTTGAGTTTTTTAAAAAAATAATTTTTTAGGCAAAAATAGACTTGTAAGGAAAACATACCTCAGCATTCAGATTATTGACATAACAAATACCAGTTTTTAGCTCTCCTATGCTTTTGTGTTTAACTATTGAATTTTCATCACTTATGAACTTTACTGTATGTAAATTTCTTCCTTTCTTCTATACTCCCTTCTCCTGGATTTCCTTTCACCTTTGATCTGAATAAAACAGAACACTCACATTACCCCAAATCCCTCACTAATTTATGTGCCAAGTGTTTTACCGTTTATTAATACAAAGTATTAAACTTTGAAATGCATTAGCATATTTGATTCTTCCTCTACTATGAATTAGATGTGGTAGGGCTCGTGCTCATTTTATAAGCAGGAAAACCTGTGCTTAGAGAAACTGTCATGTGCTATGTAAGTCACATGAGGGACAATGGCAGGAGTCCCAACTCTTGTCCTCTGACCACATCCACACACTCAGGACTGTCTCCCTGCTGAATGCTAAACAGTATCAACCACATGAGTTTCTCTTTTGTGTTTACTTTTCCAGTTAAAAAACAAATAAAAATATTAATAAGTTTGTAATTTTATGTCTAAACCCACACCCATGCAATCGCATGATGCCTTAAAATTTTAAACCTTATCCACCAAATTCACAAAAGTAAGTGAAAATCTACTTTCTTCTCTTAACACACTCGTCAGAACACTCGAGTAAGGTGTCAGGCACTGTAAGCAAGCCGTGAGATGAGGTGCATAGATAAAATGTTGGTTTCTATGACGTATATTATTTGCATAATATTTATATTACTCATTCAAGGCTGGGAATTACCACTCTAAAATAAAGTATCTTGAATGCCTTTTTGAACTTCCCTTGTTTTCAAACATTCTTCTGAATATGTGACAATTTCTCAATCTTCCTGGACTCTACCTGGTGACGATCTAATAGCTGATTTTGTAATTTAACAAGCAAATATTTAGGGAAGAGCACAAAAAAGATGTTGCAACGAATAAAGAGGAAACAGACTGTATCAGGAAACGTAAGTGATTCAATAATACTCTTAAAACATGGCACGTATTAGTCTTGTTTGGCATTTCCAGGAGATGACTTTTAGATACTGAAATTTCTTAAAAGCTTTCCTATACTAACAGCCTTCAAACTATTTTTGCTCTAAATCTTACCTTTCAGCCAAGCTTATTATTGCTTTTGGTTTTCTAGTACATTTCTTCCCACTTATTGTACCTTTCAAATGATACTTTGTTTTCCTTCATCTCATCTTTAAGTAAATTCATTAAGAAAAATTCTGAAAGCGTTTTGGCCTGAACCTGGAATTCAACACTAGTTCCAATTCAACCACTAACAAGGCACATCCTTTTCTTTGCCTGGAGCATGTCCTGGTTTTACTCTTTTAATTTACTGAACTCAAAAGACTGCTTTTGGGGCATGTTAAGACTCGCTCTATTAGCCATAAGACAGATAAAGGGATGAATTCTAAATATCTTAATTCCTGCTTTGAAAAATGCCTTTAAACTCTCTTATTTTTACCTTTCATTAAAATCACATTTTAGGATTGCCTGGAGTAATGCCCTGTACCCCACACTCCCACCTTTTTTTTTTTTAACTCACCGGCTGCCTTTTAACACCTAGCCAATTTTTCCAGACCAGGATCCGAAGCTGATGGCATTGGGAAACCATCCTTCAAATGCTCGGAATAAGAGACTTCCTCTTTTTTTCTCCACTCCTCAAAAGAAGAATTGATGCCCCGTCCAACTTGCTGTGTGTCAGTGGGTCGGTAGCCTTTTCATGGCATAGCTTCTTTGGGGGCTGGGGTAAGAAACCCACAGTTCTGTTTCTGCTGGCTTTTCCCGTGTGGTTAATCCTTAGCCAAGAAGCACTTCTCAACCAACTCTTCTTCCAACAGAAGGACTCAGATCGGTGTGTTTCAGTGGCTTGTGCTTGTTTTAAAATAACATCCAGTTGCTGCTTGTTGCATGAAGTCTGGATTCCAGTGAGAATGAGTATTGTTTAGATAATGCCCCACTGTAAAAAAAAAAAAAAAGGAGCTGAATCCACACCTCCTACTCTCCACGAAATTAACTGCCTATCCACACCTCAGAGAACATGTCACCTGCACTGGACTCGTCATAGGAATTAGGTGGTACCCTTGTCAGGCCAGTAGGACTTGTCCTACATTCTCTTGTCTTCTTCCCTGCACATAGTGTCTGCTCTAGCAGAGGCAGGGCACAGAGATCATTTGACAGACTCTGGGCACAGAGACTCTTATAATATTTAAAGTGTCATTAACGTGTTTTAAGTCAATAAGGCCAGCACTCAGCTGAAAATCTCTGAACCTCAGCCCATCGTTAGCTACAATAGGGAAAGTATCCATCTTTTTACCCTGAGGCCGAATGCTTTGATTTGGGGGAAAGTGACTATGTTGGCTAGGTCCCACCTTCTATCACAATTTACTAGGTTAGGTATGATGCAGAAAATGAAAAGTAGGCTGTAGGTGACATAAATGACAAATAGGACATTCTCTCATTTGGGGGTGGCAATTCATGCATCTATTACAGGAAAGCCACATTGTTTCAGGCTGTTATGTTTAAAGGGGACATAGGCTGACCCGGGATATTTCTATCTCCTCTTCCCAGGATATACTCCTCCCTCTCTAAGCCCCTACCTTTCACAATTATCCCCAAGTTGACACCTTCCATCTTAGATAGACCCCATAGGACACACTCTTTCCTGCCTTTGACTCCAGCATAATTCTTTGTTGCTATCTCAAGGAACTTACATTTTTTTTGCCTTGTTGTTATTTTTGTATGTTTAATTTTCCCACTAGATTGTAAATTCTTTGAGGACAGGAATTATTTTATATCACAGTAATTTATGTATGATTAGTGCTCAGTAGCTGCTGCTGAATACCATTGAATACAGGATAGGAGCCAGGGCTGGTTGGGTGAAGCTCTCCTTTGGTCCTCACACCTTGCCCTGGATAATCCAGACTCTACTTGCAAAATCGGTTAAAGCATCGTTTGGGCTCTGCCTTCAACCCTGGAGTAAATGCCGGTTCAGCTGCCTGGTCTCCATGCTGACTCTGCAAAGTCGATGGCAGCCGGCCTGGGACTGACAGCAGCCATGGTGGCACATGCCCATTACGTCAACTGTGGCTCTGCCCCTCTTGGGATGAGTCTCTGTAAGTGCAACTCCCACCAGACAGTCCATCCTGAATATCTAGACTTGGACCCTTTAATTTTTTTCTCTTCAAAGTGGAAGACAAGGTATTCTTCATCTGAGGGCCTCCAGGATAACACCCTCCTTCAACACACTGGGGATGCTATACCCCAGATTTGTCTGTCTTTCACGATCTTTATGGGTAACTTGAGCTCCTGCTTTCCTGCCTCCTTTCTCTGCCGCCTGCCACAGTCTACAAGTCACTCACGGTTTGGTTCACAAATAAAGATTACTTAGTTGTGAAGACGTTGAGATTTGGAGATGTTACTCTACATACTGAGGGACATTACAAACATAGGCGCTTTATGTAGTCAGGTTACTCCAGGTTAAAAAGTACTGACTCATCGTGTGGCTGATGTAGGTCAGAAGTCAGCTTGAAAAGTCCCAAATGGATTCTCCCAGCAGCTGCTGACCACTTCTCCAGTGTGATTGTAGAGTTGTTTAGTTTTTGTTGTTTGTTTAACTTTGGTTAAGGCTCTCTCAGGCTGTTCTCTTACCCAGATACCTTCATCCACCATTTCTAATTTTCTAATAAACACGACTTTTTACTTGAAGGTGCACCCTGCCACAGCTCCAAACACCACATACACTTTCTTGGATGCTGAGGTAATCTTTCACAAAACACAATTCAAAGTAATTTAAATTGGGGCACATAGACGATCAGGCCTTCAAATTTTATCCCATTCTAAATAGTTAGATCTCGGCATCTATATTGATCATATCTGCTTCTAGCATCATTTTTAAATTTTCAAATTTCTTTTAAAAGGGAATTTTTAAAGATGTTTAAAAATTGTAGAAAAGTCATTGCCTAACATTTATCTTGGAAAGCTATAGCTTACCCAAATCAGGAATCATAAACTGTTCACAAGAGAGCCTAAAGTAATTACTAGACCAACCAAAAGGAATCGGGAGAAATAATGTGCAAGGAGGTTAAAGATTCTATCTTGTTTGCACATAGGAGGATGTAGCTCTGTACTCCACTCCTGACTGGAGGTTGGGGTACTGCCTGCAGACACATTAGAATTTCCCCTTGCGGGAAAAGAAGACAATTGGTAACCAGAAATAATCTGTACTCAGGATACATAGCTGCCAAAAAAAAAAAAAAAAAATGTAAAAATGCAAAAAGCTAAGCTGAGCAGCAAATAAATAGAGGCAAAGTTAAAACAATACAATACATGAAAAAAATTGTTTATTGGTAAGCTGTTACATGTTTTATTCTCATAGTTGTACCAAGAAGTTGATATTATTCTACTTGGCATGGCTATGGGGCCACACTCTGCACAGTCATGCCAACACTTCTGCCAAGGCCGGCAGACCCAAATTGTATTTTTTTTTTTTTGAGACAGAGTCTCACTGTGTTGCCCAGGCTAGAGTGCCATGGCATCAGCCTAGCTCACAGCAACCTCAAACTCTTGGGCTCAAGTGATCCTCCTGCCTCAGCCTCCCGAGTAGCTGGGACTACAGGCATACACCACCACACCCGGCTAATTTTTACTATTTTTAGTAGAGACAGGGTCTCACTCTTGCCCAGGCTGGTTTTGAACTCCTGAGCTCAAGTGATGCTGCCACTTTGGCCTCCCAGAGTGTTAGGATTACAAGCGTGAGCCACTGCTCCCAGCCCAGACCTAAGTTGTCTTTAAGGATGACTTCCAGGTCTTAATACATAATGTGTACCTACATTCCCTTTCTTTGCGGTTGGTGATTCTACTCTTTAGAGATCAACAAGTGCATCCCTTAATAAAGCAAGGAATCATCATATCTCCCTGAACTTAGGCAGTATTTGCTTTTTTTTTTTTTTTTTTTTGAGACAGAGTCTCACTGTGTTGCCCAGGCTAGAGTGCCGTGGCGTCATCCTCGCTCACAGCAACCTCAAACTCCTGGGCTCAAGAGATCCTCCTGCCTCAGCCTCCCGAGTAGCTGGGACTACAGGCATGTGCCACCATGCCCGGCTATTTTTTCTATATATTTTTAGTTGTCTAATTAATTTCTTTCTATTTTTAGTAGAGACGGGGTCTCGCTCTTGCTCAGGCTGGTTTCGAACTCCTGAGCTCAAACAATCCGCCCACCTCGGCCTCCCAGAGAGCTAGGATTACAGGCGTGAGCCAGCGCGCCTGGCCTGCAGTGTTTGTTTTTGTATGCTCATTTTACCAGCAGTAAAAACAAATATATAGCTTTATCATGGAATTCCAGGATTCTGGAGTTCCACTTTCCTGGGCTCTTGTCAACAACAGGTCAGCGAGCCCAAATTTAACTAAGCTTTGCCCTGAACTGCTTTTGAGCATAGATGGTCATGCTTCTGAGGTTGCTCTTATCTGGAGTCCTCTGGGATCACTTTGCCTGCTGAACATAGTTAGGACAATGGATCTACCAAAGCTGCATAATTGTGTGACTGCTGGACCCCATGAACATCGAATGTGGCAGCTTTTGTCAGTCAACCAGTCACACAGCACACTTCAGGACCAGGGCAAGAGGGAGTCAGTCCAACCACGGATAGGATATTGATGTGGCCGAAACACATTAATTTGTTTAAATAGTATTTATTAAAGATCTATATTAATAGTAATAATAAAAGTAATTACTAGACTACAAAGCCCTGTCTGTTTAACTTGTCACTGTATAATAGGAATCTAGCACAGGTCCTGCACCCATAGTAAGCGGTCAATTATTGCTTATTGAATAACTGAGTAGCAAACATTTGCTAAGTACTTATTGAATCATCATAGGAGACCTATGACAAAGGAAAACTGTCCCTGTCTTCATTTTCAGAGGAAGAAAGAAAGTGACATTTAGAGGGGGTTTTTCCTGATCCTCTAGGGGCCTATAAATCATTTGTGGAATTTTTTTTAAAAAGTACACACATAAAAAATGATTACCAAAATGAGAGCACAAAGAATAACTGCTCTAGGACTTCAGGAAAAGGAAGGCTCCTCTTTTAGGTTTCTTGGTAGAACATCAAAGCACTCCCCAGCCTGGCTCGTGCAGCTTTGTCAGCTCTGGCTCTCCCCCGTCAGCCATCCCTGCTGCCATCTGCTCTAAGGCCTTAGATGAGGACTGTTCACTTTCAGCTTAAATCATGCTGTCCCCTCTGCCCAAAATGAAACCGTGCTCATCCTCCAATGCCTGACTCAAGTGTTACTTCCTCTCTGAAGCCTTTTCCAGCACTTCCGCCCACCACACCCCTATCCCTGGCTGAATTAATCACCCCTTCATCTGTTTTCCCATAAACCTTTGTTCACACAGATTGCCAACTCCCTTGTTACCTTCTATTATAGTTGGTCTGCCTACACTCGGGCCCCTTGAATACAGGTACCATATCTTATGTAACACCAGGAGTTGGAGATTATTTCTGTATTCCTGGAGAACGGTGAGAACTCTGACCTGACTAGATCTAAGAGCTGGTTTAAAGCAGGAGAAGGTAAGAGTGAGGGACCGAATGCTAAATAGAAGATGCCATATTGAGG